GCCTCTGCAACCCAACTTCCTCTCTTATCTCTTGATCCACCACTCCAGTTTAGCTGTCCCTCACTATTCTCTGTGTGCACACCTCTCTGGAGGGCCATGCTATGGGAACATTGCACACCACCACAATGACTAAGCCTTTGCAAACAGGTAGAGTACAAAAGCAAGAAATTTATGATAAATTCACCTCGCTGCGTTCACTTAAGGGAAATCAAGCGCCTCTATTCCTAGAGTCATCACAAAAGTTAATGACTTTGAAAAATACACAGTTTATCCAGCTCTCAAAAACAGGTTGACAGAGGAACAGATCAAGTTTCTACCCTTGACACAAGTTTCTATTTATTACAAATAAATAGGCTCTAGCTACAGATAAACAATTATGAACCATTGGCATATAAATCTAGGAGTTAAAACTCTAACCCACTTATAAACTCGCCAATCTACACATATAAACATACTGAAACAGACGGGAAAAAAAGGTACATGTTATGGACAGAGGAAAATCTGGAAAGACAGTTCAGTGGTCCCTGATCACAGGGTTTGCTGAGATGGTTCTTGTTCTGATCAGAACACTCGTTCTCATTTCTTCATTTTTTTTGAAGAAGGGTCTAGACCCGAAACGTCAGCTTTCCTGCTCCTCTGATGCTGCATGGCCTGCTGTGTTCATCCAGCTCTACACCTTGTTATCTCACTAGTTCTCGATCCTTCTTTTCCAGATATGCTCAACTGTTTGCAGCAGGCACAGGGTGACTGGTTCCCACTTGTCAAATTCTTTGACTTATCAATTAAAAGTCATAGCTTACAGCAAGTGACAAGGGGAAATAAACTAGCATCAGAGACAGTCCCTGCCTTTGCAGAGATGTTAGATCATTGAATCCGTACAGTGTGCAAACAGGTCCTTCGGCCCAACAAATCCACACTGACCTTCAGACCATCCCACCCCTACACATTCCCCTATAAGCCGCCTAATCTACACATTCCTGAACACTACAGGCAATTTAGCATAGCCAATCAACCTAGCTGGCACATCTTTTGACTGTGGGAAGAAACCGGAACACCCGGAGGAAACCCCCACAGACACAGGGAGAATGTGCAAACTTCACACAGACAGTCACCTGAGGGTGGAATTGATCCCGGGTCCCTAGCACGGTGAGCCAGCAGTGCTAACTATTGAGCCACTGTGCTCCCTGTATGATTGCTTATGCCAAAACATGCATCGACCTGAGCTGTTAAGCTACCTGGAAATCAGTCACATATTTGTTGGCTGGCAAAAGGCATTTATCATTAGTAACTGGTCAGTAGTACACATACCAACCAATTTCTTTGAAGTAGCTGGAGTTCTAAAGAAAGGTCACTGGACCCAAAACGTTAACTCTACTTTCTCTCCACAGATGCTGCCTGACCTGCTGAGATTTTCTGACAATTTCTGTTTTTATTTCTGATTTCCAGCATCCATAGTTCTTTGGTTTTTTCTGTTCCAATTAGCTACTTGCTGCCAGACAAAGTTCCATTTATACACACCCCTTGGCTGCAGCTTTTTTGCAAACAAGGCCTCCACCACTGCTCACAATAAGTGTCAGGTTACTTGTTTTTAGAAATGTGTAGCAATCCTTCAATAATGCTTGCCTTTTAAAATTGTTCTTTTTCCATTTTAGTCCATGGTCAAAAATACACAAAAATCAAAATTGGCGGCATGGTGGCTCAGTGGTTAGCACTGCTGCCTCACAGCCCCAGGGACCTGGATTCAATTCCACCCCCGGGTGACTGTCTGTGTGGAGTTTGCACATTCTCCCTGTGTCTGCGTGGGTTTCCTCCAGGTACTCCAGTTTCCTCCCACAGTCCAAAGATGTGCCGGCTAGGTGGATTGGCCATGCTAAATTGCCCATAGTATTCAGGGATGTGTAGCTTAGGTGGGTTATAAGGGAACGGGTCTGGGTGGGCTGCTCTGAGGGTTGGTGTAGACTTGTTGGGCCAAAGGGCCTGTTTCCACACTGAAGGGATTCTGTGTTCTAAAATGTACTGTCTTTATATAAACCCATATAAAATACTGGTTTGGCCTCAACTGGTGTATTACATTTAGTTCTGGGTGCCACATATAAGGGAAGATGTGAAGGCAGAAGAATGGAGACAGAAAATATTGGCAATAATAATTCTATGAATGAGGAATTTCTATTATGTGCGTCTGTTGGAGAAGTTGTGACTATTCTTTTTGGAAAAGTGAAGATTAATAGAGGTTTTCAAAATCACAAGGAATCTGACAGGGTAGATAGGGAGAAATTATTCCTATTGGAGGAAATACTGTGAAACGATGGGCACAGTTTAAGGTAAGTGACAAAAGAAAAAATGGTAACATGAGGAATTGTTTTTTGCCTAGTAAGTAGTTAAGATTTGAAATGCGTGATGCAAGAAGATTTAACTTAAGTTTTCAAAGGAGAATTGGATAATTGTCTGAAAAGCTGGATAGCTTTGGGAAATGGCATGGACATAGTGGGCTGAATGGATTCCTTCTCTATTGTAGCCACTCCATAATGCTATGATAAAGATCATTCTGTTTTTTCTTCTAATAAAGAGTCACGGGACTCAAAATGTTAACTTTGATTTCAGTCCAGAGATGCTGCCAGACCTGCTGAGTTTTTCCAGCTATTTCTGTTTTTGTTTCGATTTCCAGCATCTGTAGTTAGACCACAAGACGTGGGAGCGGAAATTAGGCCATTCGGCCCATTGAATCTGTTCCTTCATTCAATCATGGCTGGATAAGTTTCTCAACCCCATTCTCCTGTTTTGTGTCCATAATCTTCAATCCCCTTGACAATCAAGAACTTATCTACCTCTGTCTTAAATATACTCAATGACCTACCCTCCTCAGCCTTCGGTGGCAATGGATTCTTTGGGTTTTTTTTGTTTTCTCGCTATTTTTCTTTTTGTTCTTTGTTAAAATGTATTAAGGTCACTTAATTGGTATTCTCGGTTTTCATTTTTCCCGTATTGCAGATGGTCCATGTTCAAATGCAACAAGATCTCGACAATATCTAGGGTAGGCTGTTAAGTGATAAGTAACATTCACAGCACACAAATGCCAGGCAATGACCATCTCCAATAAGAGACAATCTAACTACCACGCCTTGACATTCAGTGGTGTTACCATCATGGAATCCCCCAGTACCAATATGCTGGGGGTTACCGTAGACCAGAAACTCAACTAGACTTGCCACTTAAACGCAATGGCCTCAAGACCAGGTCAGAGGCTAGGACTACTGCAACGAGTAACACACATCCTGACTCCCCAAATGTTGTCATTATCTAGAGTGTACAAGCGTGATGGAATACCCTAAGCAGGCTTGGTAGGGTGCAGCCCAACAACACTCAAGAAGCTTGACACCATTCAGGACAAAGCAGCCGCTTGATTGGCACCACATCCACAAGCATCCACTCCCTCCACCACCGATGCTCAGTAGCAGCAGTGTGTACTATCCATAAGGTATTCATCAAAGATCCTTGGACAGCACCTTCCAAACCCATCCAGAAGGGCAATGACAAGTGTACATGGGAACACTACCACCTTCAAGTTCCTCTTGAAGTGACTCAAAATCTTCTAGTGTTGCTGGTTCAAAATCCTGGAATTCCCTCCTGAATAGCATTGTGGGTCAACCTGCAGCAGGTGGACTATAGTGGTTCAAGAAGGCAGCTCACCACCATGTTTTCAAGGGCAACTAGGAGCAGGCAATAAATGCTGGTCAATCAGTGATGCCCACTCCCCACGAATGAATAACAAAAAAGAAAACAGATGTTGCTGTGTTTTTGTAGGTTATAAGAAGCAATAACTTAATTCATTTGCACATCTCATTGGTTGCAATTTATTCAATAGATATATGAAATAATTGCTCAGAGGATGGTACCCTGTCACCAAGTCACCCTTTATTTACATCTGCATAGTACACTGGCTGTGGCCAGCCAACTCGAAATCAGTTCATGTGAGGAGATTCTGAATCTCCTGTTTAGATCTATCTCCCAGGGCTCCTTGATAGGCCCATGTTAACAACCCCAATAAAGATCTCATGGTCAATGAGATCCACATGGTTCCAATCACGACAATATGTGAAAGAATGAACTGCCTGTATCTAAATAAGGCGTGTGTTTGTTAAGCAGAACAAGATATTGTGTATTTTACTGTAGGATTTAGATTTATTTATTTGTCAAATGTACTAAGTGTAGGAATACATTAGTATAGTGAAAAGTACACAAAGTCGCCATTCACTGGCGCACACTTGGTTACAAAATCCAGAATTAAAAGATTTAACAGACCCAAAAGGTAAGCAAAAAAAACCCCAGATCTCATAGTCCCAAGTCCCATCTCCACAATGGTGCAGGTGCCATTGGTGCCTCGCTCCAATCGCGAGGACAGCTAGGAGACCGCCACCACCAAGCGAAAGGGTGGCTCTCAGTGCAATTGCCGCCGACTGCTACCTCCTCACTGGCTCTGCTCTCACTGCTACCGCCTCACCAGCCCTGCTCTCACTGCTACCGCCTCACCGGCCCCTCTCTCACTGCTACCGCCTCACCGGCCCTGCTCTCACTGCCACCTCCTCACCAGGCCCGCTCTCACTGCTACCTCCTCACCGGCCCCGCTCTCACTGCTACCGCCTCACCGGCCCCGCTCTCACTGCCACCGCCTCACAGGCCCCGCTCTCACTGCTACCGCCTCACTGGCCCCGCTCTCACTGCCACCGCCTCACAGGCCCCGCTCTCACTGCTACCGCCTCACCGGCCCCGCTCTCACTGCTACCGCCTCACCGGCCTCGCTCTCACTGCCACCGCCTCACAGGCCCTGCTCTCACTGCTACCGCCTCACAGGCCCCGCTCTCACTGCTAAGTGTTACAGTGGAATGATAGAATAGCGTATAGTTATGATAGGGAGAAGCAACTAATTTATCGGTTGTGATCTGCATAGACGTCTCATAAATTATGTGGAAATAACTTATTAATAAAATTTTTTATCCTTCAAGGGTTAGCAAAAGTGAAGTCTGATATTCTGGAAACAGACTTGAACATTAGGTAAGGAAATTTTGTTCCTTCATATATCAACACAGATTTCATTCAATAGCATTTGCAGTTTGTGCTATAACTGTCATGCTATTCAACAACAAGAATATAAGTCATGTAGACCAAGTATAGATTAGAAATAGCAACTTGAAAATATTATTTTCAAACTGTACTGTCACATTTGAAATAAGCTTCTCCAAAACCTTAGATATGCTAACTCATTTTTATGATTTGAGCTCTGACAGATCATTTTGTTTTCTGATGTCCAATTTCTATGGGAAAGCTATAAACTGAAGCATGATTCAATCCATGAAATAACCTGTCAAAAACAGGCAACTAGGAGATTCTTTACAAATAAGGTGTGCACTTATCCTCTTGACCTATCTAACAAAATTGCTGGATGGATTAAAATCAGGATCCATTTAGTCTGCCTTTACCTGCCGTAACTGCTTGATACAATAAATGACAAAGAAATGAGACAAGGAAAGCACCATGGCAAGGAAAGGTTTGGGAAACTTTAAGATGGGAATGTCCCTACTTCTGGGCCAGAAAGTCGGTGTTTAAATCCTATCTGCCATAGATGTGTGTCATAATATTTCCAAACAGGTTGATTTAAATAATTTATAGGCCAGACTGGGTAAAAAACAGCAGGGCTCCTTCCTGAACTATATTGAACCAACTGTACTTTTATGACATTCCTTTAATTGTCACATTTACTAGCAAAAAGATTATTTTATTGAAAGTCATTTAAATTGCTCAGTCTGCCGTGGTGTAAATTGGACTCATTTTGGATTGCTAATTCAATGTTATAACAAAAAAACTGTCATACTTAATAATTCTTTATGTTTTCCAGGGATAAACTTACTTTGAAAAAGCAAGCAGCAGATGTAAGTTCAAAATCCTTTGATTTGCTTGTGAAGTACTTAAAGTATCTGGTTTCCATCTCTTCCTGATGTCATTGAGACTAAAGTCACCATTTTGTGTCATTGTGATCATTGTATCGCTCCTTTGTCTTCATTACCATGCTATTTTTGAAATAATTGACTATTCAACTTAGTTCTATGGGTTATCTTAATTTTTCTGGTTCCGTTTTTAAACACTACAATGCATTCATAGCTTTATATGATTTCTTCTCTTGGGCCTGCACTGTCATTTTAAGCATATCCCAAGACACATTCTTACCAAAATCAGTGTCAGTTTTAGAACCTACATCAATCTAATTTTACTTCCATCCTTGATTCATGACTTAATGTGCTGCATAGAACATAGAACATAGAACATTACAGCACAGTACAGGCCCTTCGGCCCTCGATGTTGCGCCGACCTGTGAAACCAATCTGAAGCCTACCTAACCTACACTATTCCATTATCATCGATATGTTTAGCCAGGATCCCTTATTAACAAAAAGCCTTGGATGAGCCTGATAAGACAACTGGAAAAACGCAGCAGGTCCGGTAGCATCTGTGGAGAAAAAGCAGAATTAATGTTTTGGGTCTAGTGACCCTTCTTCAGAAGTACAATTAGCTACAATCAATTCCGAAGAAGGGTCACTGGGCCCGAAATATTAACTCTACTTTCTCTCCACAGAGGCTGCCAGACCTGCTGAGTTTCTCCAGCAATTACTGTTTTTGTTTCAGATTTCCAGCATCCGCAGGTCTATGGATTTATGATAAAGCTCCTATTAACTCAATCACATCATTTGTAATTCAGGAACCATTATTATCACTTTTTCTTTTGCTGCTGTACTGAACTAAGCTGCAAATTTCATTTTTGTCAAGGTCGCACTTACTTTTCTACAATATTGCTCAACCACACCAACTCAGCTCATCAAAACATCTTTAGCAGCACCATCCAAACCTGCAATCTCTAACATCTGGAAGGATAAGGGCAGCAGATACTTGGGACCACCACTGTAGATTCCTCTCTAAGTCACTCATCATCCTGACTTGGAAATATATTGCTGTTACTTCACCGTCATTGTGTAAAAAGTCCTGGAATTCCTTTCTAACAGCAATGTGGTGTTCCTACATCCCAAGGACTGAAATAGTCCAAGGGATGTCAAAGAATAGCGAGAGTTTGGTAATGAAAAAGTAGGGTGCCTATATTAGGTGCAGAGCATTAAAAAAGCGGAAGCACCTTAGAAGTATACAGAGTGTAAGGGGGTGCTTAAAAAGAAATTAGGAGGACAAAGAGGGTCACAAAATATCTGTGGTAGATAGGGTTAAGAAGATCCCTAAGACATTTTATAAGGATATTAAATGGAAGCAGATTACCATGGTAAGAGCAGGGCCTATTGGAAATAAAGGGAGTAATCTGTACATGGAGTCCCTACAGTGCAGAAGGAGGCCATTCAGCCCATACTAATCCTCCAAAGAGCATCCCACCATGCCCCCACATTTACCATGTCTAATCCACCTAGCCTAACGCATTCCAGAACACGATAGATAATTTCCGAATGGCCAATCCACCTAATCTGCCCATTTTGGACTGTAGGAGGAAACCCATGCAGATATGAACAGCATGTGCAGCTATGGTGTCTCAGTAGTACATAGAACAGAGAAGATGTGGCCGAGGTCTGAAATGAATCTTTCACATTGTATTCACAAAGAAGAAAGACATTTACGCTGGAGAATTCAGTTGAGATAGTGAGGTTCTAGAGCATGCTAAGATTAAAGAGGAGGAGGTATTAGATGTTTGAGCAGGAATAAAGGTGCATAAATCCTCTGGGCCTGTTGAGATAGAGTCATGAAATCATTCAGTGTGGAAACAGACCCTTTGGTCCAACTTGTCCATGCTGACCAAGTTTTACAAACTAAACTAGTCCCACTTGCCTGTGTTTGGCCTGTATCCCTCTAAACCTTTCCTATTCATATACCTATCCAAATGTCTTTTAAATGTTATAACTGGACAGTATCCAAGCTGCTATGAGAGGCAAGGGAGGAGATTGCGGGACCCTGGCAGATATATTTAATATTTTGCTGGCCACAGGTGAAGTGCAAGATGACTGGAGGACAGCGAATATGGTTTCTTTGTTCAAGAAGGGCAGCAAGATAGCAGTAGGTAATTACAATTAGGTTAGACTGATGTCAGTGGTGAGGAACTTAGTGGAAAGAATTCTGAGGGATAGGATTAATCAACACTTGTGATGTAGGTAAATCACCACAAGTTACCTTTAGAGGAGCAAATTACTGCAGACGCTGGAAACTGTATTGAAAACAAAAAAAGCTGGAAATCACAGTGGGTCAGGCAACATCCATGGAGAAAGCAAGTTAACAGTTTGAGTCTAGATGACTCTTCATCAGAGTAATATACTGATTTCCAGCTTTTTTTATTTTCACAAGTCATCTTTAATTTGGCTACTTATTAAGAAATCTCAGAGACAATCAAATACTGAAACAATGATTTAAACTTTATTGCATGTAGCAACCAAAATAAGAGCCCTCGAATCAGCAAGTTAAGTCTCACAACCCAACTTGGCTATTGCCTGATTAATGGTGGAAGTTGGCCACGATTCCACCAACAGTGTCTGCATCTGCTGTTTGATTCTTATACAGATTTTTGTCCTTCAGGTCTGTGTGTGATATTATTGATGATTTTTAAAAAGTCCTTACATCTAAATTACTGTAAGTCTGCAGCTTGCCTTCTTATCAGAAGCTTCCCTGTTCCTTGTTAGATTTAAAATTAACTGTTTGAAGACACAGCTTTCCTGCAGTTAACTCCTTAAATTCTTCTGCAGGGCAACCAGTTAACCTTGTGTCATAAAGCAACCAGTTTCTCAAGCAGGTGTCAAAGCAGTTTCATTCATGTAGTTTTGATTCTCAGGCATGGCTAATTGCTACCAATTCCGGGATAAGTCTGTTGGAGACAGTATGGACTACAGATGCTGGAAGCCAGAGTCAATTGACTCTGGATACGTTTGTGTTTGTCATTAATAGTTTATTCCAGACAGAGTCATTGCCACTTCTTGCCATGTGTAACAGTTTATCTTTTTTTGATTCATTCAATCCATCAGCAGTTTTTAAAGTTCTGAAGTCTATAATACATCATACAATATTATAGACTTCAGAACTTTAAAGGGAGGGATTATAGAACGTAGAACATAGAACAATACAGCACAGTACAGGCCCTTCGACCCACGATGTTGTGCCAAATTTTTACCCTAATCCTAAGGTCTATCTAACCTCCACCCCTACCTTATACTATCATCCATATGCCTATCTAATAGCTGCTTAAATGCCACTAATGAGGCCGACTCCACTACCCTCTCCTTCAATGCATTCCACGCCCCCTACCACTCTTAATCAGAGACAGTCAGCACAGATTTGTTGGAGGGATGTCTTGTCTGACTAATTGAGTTTTTTTGAAAAGGTGGCTAAGTATATTGATAAGGGGAGCGCAGTTGATGTGTTTTCAGTAAGGCCTTTGACAAGATCCCCCATGGAAAGCTGGTCCAAAAGGAAAGAGCCCTGGGATCCAAGGCAAGTTGTTAAACTCGATCCAAAATTGGCTTGCAAATAGGAGGAAAGGGGTGATGGTGGAGGGTTGTTTTTATGATAGAAAGCCTGTGACCACTGGTGTACCACTGTGATCAGTGCTGGGGCTCTTACTGCTTGTTATTTACATTAACAACTTGGATGTGAACACAGAAGGTATAATGAGTAAGTTTGAAAATGACATGAAAATTGATGGTGTTGATGTGAGGAGGATGGTCTCAGGCTACAATCTGATATTGATCAGCAGTAAATTTGACACAGTAATGGCAGATGGAATTTAATCCTTAAGAGTGTGAGATGCTGCAATTTGGGAAGTCTAACAAGGGAAGGATATACACAATGAATGGTGGGTCCCTCAGGAGTACTAAGGAACTAAGGGGCCTTGGTATACAACTCCATAGATCGCTGGAGGTATCAGCATAGATAGGGTGGTGAAGAAGGCATTTGGGATGCTCATCTTCATTAGCTGGGAGCAAGAAAGTCTTGCTACAAATTTATGAAACATTGGTTAGGCCACAGATGGAAAACTGTGTGGACTTCTGGTCACCACACCATCAGAAGGAGGTGATTGCCCTGGAGAGGATGTAGAGGAGACTCACCAGGATGTTGCCTGGGATAGAAAGTCTCAATTACAAAAAGAGGCTGGATAGGATGGATTTGATTTCCTTGGAGCAGAAGAGGCTGAGGTGTGATCTGATTGAGGTATACAAAATTACGAGAGGCATAGACAGGTTCGATCATGAGAATCTTTTCCCGTGGCGGACATGTCTAAGACTAGAGGGCATAAGTTTAATGCGAGGAGTAAATGGCTTAGAGAAGATATGAGGAAGGTGGTAGAACTGCACTGCCTGAGAGGGTAGCGGTGGGTGGTACTCTGGCAACATTTAAGAAGCATCTGGACGAGCATTTAAAATGCCAGTCTGTTGATCAAGTGCTGGTAAATGGGTTAAGTATAGAATAGAATAAAATAGAACAGAATAGTTTTAATAAAAACCAAAAGAACCAATAGAATAGTCTTTATTGTCATGTCCACTCGAATGAGTGCAGTGAAAAGCTTGTAATGTTGCCTCTCAGTGCCATCTTAGGCACAGGGTACCTAGGTACAGGTACTTTGAGTGTTGTCACAGAATTGAAATAGTAAAAGAAATAGACTAACATGGGAATACAGAGTTTAAAATGTCCAGAATGATAACAAAAGGTATCTTTAAAGTACTCAACTTATAGTCCTTTTCAACTGAGTCTGTGCCCGCTGGGCTTCAGAACACAAGGCCTCACTGCCTCCACACGCTGGCCTCTGCCCCAGACTTGCCTCCAGGACTTGTCACCCCAGCCGGCCTGCGCTCGCTCTAGTCCCGCTCCGGGCTCTGGCCACGACTCACTTCTAGGACTCAGCCCGAGCTTGCTGTGCTCCCGCTCTGGGCTCTGGCTGCGACTCGCTTCCTGGTCGTTTCTCTATTCCCTCCAGGTAGGGAAAGAGGAGAGGCGCTGTAGCTGGAGCGTCTTATTCTGCTGCCATCTTGCAAGATCTTGTACTTTGGTGTTTACTGGTCAGCATAGAAAATATGGGCCAAAGGGCCTGTTTCTATGCTGTTTGACTGTCTGACTCTAAGGCAGATCACAGCTAGCATCACCAGGGCAATTCAAGATGGGCGAGAACAAGCTCACATCACATGAAAAAATTTAAAAAAAAACGTGCCTCATCTCTAAGTTTTTAAAACCTTCACAACGTTTTTTGTTGCCTGTAACTTCCATTTCTTCAATTTTGTAATTTTGCAACTGTCCACCTTACCCAAGACTAAGTGGCCTTAATTCTTTTTTATTCATTTAATCTTCCACAGGATGTGAAAGCCAGCATTTGCAATAAAAAAACTCAGTGTTTTATCTCCTTTCTTGCTTGCACTTTCAGCATTGCTATTTTGTTACATTCTTTTCATTAATGGTGGTTTTTGATTTGTATTCAACTAAATCCTTTGCAGAGGGTCCAGGGTCCAGTGTAGTCCTTAATTCTGTTGTCACTTCTAAAATGCATAGATCTAAATTTGGATTTCTTTTATATTCCTTTTGTCTTTGCCAATACCTGGCTGGATATCTCCTTGCCCCTACCGTTCATACAAATTGCATTCACAATTTGCTTCCATATTTTATTCACCTAGCAATTTGGTGCCCTGTTCGGAAACATCAATACCTATATCACTGAAAGCACCCCGTATTTTATGTTTCATGGTTTGATGTTCAGTGAATTTGAGGTTCTCAGGAATTGAAAAGCAGAATAATGCAAATGCTGGAAATCTGAAATCAAAGCAGAAAATTCTAGAAATAGCCAACTGAATGGGATATGAGGAGGGGCTAAAAAGGGCAAAGTTGAAAAAAGAGAAAGGGTAGTCAGAAATCATAGTTTGAAACAAAAGAGCATGCAGCATTAGGCAGACACAGATGGATTTGAAACAAAATAGGTAGCAATGGACAAGAACATAAACAATATAGCTATCTCAATGTTTGGGACAGGCAGCTAAAGGTGGTATTGCACACCCTCAGTAGAAGCAAGAGCTAGCTGATATTTTCTGTTGGTTTACTGCCTAACTAATGACAGTTAACAACCTCTGGTGTGATGTAGGAAGACATTAATAAAAACTTATAAAGAATGAACATATAAGGAGCAAATTGATTTCCAATTTGATGAATGTATGGTGGTGCATTTTGTAAGGAGTAATAAGGCTACTCGTCTGAAAATAACGCAAACAGTGCAGAATTTGAATATTGCTGAAAAAAGACACATTTTGTCAAAGCGTTTCATTGTGCATTCATCAGAACTGACAAGAATACCATTACAAAGGGAACAACTTTTAATACTGAATGAGAATTGACTACTGAATAGATTGAGAGTCAGAGTCATAGAGCCATACAGCACAGAAACAGACCCTTCGACCTAACTTGTCCATGCCGACCAGGTTTCCTAAACTGAACTGGTTTCATTTGCCTGCATTAGGCCCATATCCCTCTGAACCTTCCCATCTATGTGCCTGCCCAAATAATTTTTAAATGTTGTAATTGTATTTGCTTCTACTACTTCCTCTGGCAGCTCGTTCCATATATGTACCATCTTCAGTGTGAAAAAGTTGTTCCTCAAGTCCCTTTTAAATCTTTTGGACTCCCCTACCTAAGGAAAATACATTGGCTTTTCACCTTGTCTGTGCTCCTCATGATTTTATAAACCTCGATAAAGTCATCTCTTTGCCTTCTGTGCCCCCGGGAAAAAGACCCCAGCCTATCCAACTTCTCCTTATAACCGAAACCCTCCAGTCTAGCTAATATCCTTGTAAATCTTTTTTGCACACTTTCCAGTTTAGTAACATTCTTCCTGTAGCAGTGCAACCAGAATTGTACGCTGTACTCCAAACGTGGCCTTACCAATGTCTTGTAACATGATGCCCCAACTCCTGTACTTGATGCTCTGACTGTTGAAGGCAGGTGTGCCAAAAACCTACTTCACCATCCTGTCTACCTGCAACGCCACTTTCAAGGAGCTACGTTCTGCACCCCTAGGTCTCTTTGTTAACAAAACTCCCCACGGCTCTATTATTAACTGTATAAGTCCTGCCCTGGTTTCTCTTACCAAACACTTCACATTTATCTAAATTAAACTCCATCTCCATCTGCCATTCCTTGGCCCACTGGCTCAGTTGATCAAATCCTGTTGTACTCTAAAACAACCTTCTTCATTGTGAGCTATATCACCAATTTTGATGTCATCCTCAAACTTATTATCCATGCCTCCTATGTTCTCATTCAAATTGTTTTATAAATGACAAACAACAGTGGATCTAGCACCAATCCTTGCAGCACACCTCTAGTCACAAGCCTCTCGCCTGAACGACAACCCTGTTCCACCATTTTCTGTCTCCTACCGTCAAACCAATTTTGTATCCAATTGGCTAGCACTTCCTGGATCCAATGTGATCTAACCTTACTAACCAGTCTACCATTCAGAACCTTATTGAAAGCCTAGATAATGCCATGTAAACAATGTTGTCTGCTCTGCCTTCCTCTGTCTTCTTGGTCATCTCTTCAAAAAACTCAAATCAAGTTTGTGCGACATGGTTTCCCATGCACAATGCCATGCTGACTATCTGTAATCAGTCCTTGCCTTTCCAAGTGCATGTAGATCCTGTCTCTTAAACTCCTGACTGTACGCAACCAGCCTATGATTACCAAACTGAAAGCAGTGTTCAGTAGTAGCTGTGATTCTGTGATTGAACAACATTTATAAAATAATCTTGAATCTGCTCAGAATTACACTTACAACCAATTTAAAATTAATTCTTGGGTGCACAGTGTGGTGTACTTTAGTGTGCAGAAGCAATTTTAAATTTTCATATATTAATATGCATATTAGTACACAGGGTACTGCTGTTTGTGGACAGATAAAAACATGAACTCAAATTTTACTTGTTTCAGCTTAACAGAATTATGAAAACTATTGTCTGGTCCATTCCTCAGGGTAATGCCTTGACCAATCAGTCTATCTACTGGTTTAAATTTCAGTAAAGCTTAGCAGTTAACTGGTTCGTTCTCCATGACAACACTTGTACTAATCAGAGTACACTTGTGAACCAAGGACTCTCTCCTGATTCAGCATAAAACGTTGTTCCCTTTACGTTGCTATTCTTGTAAGTTGTCCTGATTCTTGCAAGGCAAACAGCTTTGACAACTTGTGACTTTTTTAAAGAGTAGTCAGATATATTGCATTGATTACTAAATGCTTTGGATCTACATCTTACCAGAACTGAGAATTCATAATGAGCACAAGGACTGATTAAACTGCAGTTCTTTTCCCGAGACAAAGAAGATGAAGAGGTTTGATAAGGTACATGTAAAGAAAATGTTTTTGAATAAGATTTATAGGGTATAAGGCATAAGATATTTGCACATTAAATGCAACAAATTAAATGCAAAAATTAAATGCAAAAAATACATTATTCCAACAAATATTCACAGGCCAGATGCTGATATTGCAGTTATAAGAACGATTGTAAACCCTAGGAACAAGTGAGCACTAACTGGCTGAGTTGGAGTTAATACATGATGTGGGAACATCTGAAAAGAACAAAAGTGGAAAAGGAAAAAAAAGCAATATTTCTCTATTGATAATATTATCTTTTGACTTGTGTGTTTTTTTCATAGGATGACATTTATAAAGCAGTTCGAATAAATCAAGGCAACGACCTTCGTGAAGATGTGAAAAGGAGTGAAGGAATGCAAGGTTTGTTTATGAGAAGGTCAGAACACAAACTAAAAGAAGTATGTTGTGGTTTAGACTTTCTTCTGACCTGTTTTTTTTCTGCTCACAGCACAAAGGCATTTTCTGCAAGTAGATTAAAGGAGTTCAATACTGTCTAAAGATCCTGCTATGTTGTGCATAAAACACTCCCTCACTGAATAGTCCCTGGACAGATACAGCATGGGTTAGAAATTTTGGGCAGAATTTTCCATGCTCACTTGAACTGGGTGAAAAGGGGAGGTGGCACCTATGGAAATCTTACCCACAACTGAAGTGAGGCTAATCAGCCTCCCTTTTTAAAAAGGGGTGTCACATTAACGATTTTCCAGTCCTCAGGGATCCTCCCTGACTCTAGCGTTCCTGAAAGATCACCACTAACGCTTCCACTATCTCTTCAGCTATTTCCTGAAGGACTCTGGGGTGTAGTCCATCTGGTTCAGGTAATTTATCCACCTTCAGGCCACTCAGTTTTTCTAGCACCTTCTCCTTGGTGATGGCCACAATACTCAGCTCTGCCTCCTGACTCTGTTGAATTTTTGGGATATTACTTGTGTCTTCCACTGTGAAGACTGGTGCAAAGTAATTATTCAGTTCCTCAGCCATTTCCTTGTTCCCCACCACTATCTTTCCAGCATCATTTTCCAGCTGTCCAATGTCCACTTTTGCCCCTCTTTTGTCCTTTATATATCTAAAGAAATTCTTACAGTCCTCCTTTATATTACTGACTAGCTTACCCTCGTACCTAATCTTCTCCCTCCTTATTTCTTTTATTGTTGCCCCCTGTTGGTCTTTAAAAGCTTCCCAATCCTCTGGTTTCCTACTGCCCTTCACCACATTATATGTTTTCTCTTTTGCTTTTATGCTATCCCTGACTTCCCTAGTCAGCCATGGTTGCCTCAACCTCCCTGTACCATGCTTCTTTTTCCTAGGGATGAAGTTTTGCTGTGTCTTCTGAATTCCTCCTAGAAACTCCTGCCATTGCTGCTCCACTGTCTTTCCTGCTAGGTTCCTCTTCCAGTCAGTTCTGCCCAGCTCCTCCCTCATGCCTCTGTAGTCGCCTTTATTCAACTGTAATACCTTTACCTCGGATTCTATCGTCTCCCTCTCAAATTGCAGTGTAAATTCAATCATATTATGATCATTGCCTCCTAAGAGTTCCTTCACCTTAAGCTCCCTTATCAAGTCTGCCTCATTGCACATCACTAAATCCAGTATTGCCTGTTCCCTAGTGGGCTCCATCTCGAGCAGCTCCAAAAGGCCATCTCGTAAACACTCCATAAATTCCTTTTCTTGCAATCCACTACCAATCTGATTTTCCCAGTCCACCTGCATGTTGAAATCCCCCATGATCACTGTGACTTTGTCTTTCTTGTATATGTTTTCTTTCTCCTGGTGTACCTTGTGCCCCAGCTCCTGACTACTGTTTGGAGGCCCACACATAACTCTAAATATGGTGATTTTACCTCTGCAGTTCCTCAACTCTACCCACACAGATTCAACACCATCTGACCTTACTTTGTTTCTTACTATTGAGTTAATTTCATGTCTTAGTAATAAGGCAACTCCACACACTCTGCCCACCTGCCTATCTTTTCGATAGAATGTATATCCTTGGATATTCAGCTGCCAATCCTAATCCCCTTGCAGCCATGTATCTGTGATGCCCACCACGTCATATCTGCCAATTTCGATCTGCGCCATTAGCTCAAAATGTCGACTTTCCTGCTCCTCTGATGCTGCCTGATCTGCTGTGTTCCTCCAGCTCCACACTGTGTTGTCTCTGACTCCAACATCGGCTGTTCTTGCTATCTCCGAGTGACTAATAACCCCACTGCGAAGCCTCTTCCAAGAAAATGTTGTCCTCCTCCCTCCGGAAGGACCTCAGTGGATCTCTCTGCCACTGCAACCCTCTGGTAATCTCCTCTGCCCTGAAGCTCTTCGTCCACATACTTAAACAAACTCGGTACTACAGCCACACATCTCATCCACCTATCACCTTTCCCCAGTCCCAATTCTCCTCCTTCTCTTTATTTTCCAGTTCCTTTCCCCCTCCCCATTTCTGAAGAAGGCTCCTGACCCGAAACGTTGATTTCCCTGCTCCTCTGATGCTGCCTGACTTGCTATGTTCCTCCAGCTCCACACTGTGTTGTCTCTGACTCCAGCATCTGCAGTTCTTGCTATCTCAGTTACCTTCTTATTAATACTGCATGCATTTAGATACAACACCTTCAGTACTGTATCAACCATCCCTCTTTTCGTTGTCATTCGCTTATCCAGTGCGCTTGATGTTTGATTCCTAATCCTTTCCAACAAAACTTCTTCCTCAAATCCCTGTGTAGTGGTGACTGCGCCGATGCAAATCTTTGTTCCAACCACCAACCAGTGTCGTCATCACCCTCTGCTGGACGCTCATCTTCACTCAAACTCAGAGGGTGTGTTGCTGAGGTCCTTCTTCTACTGCTGGTGACTGTGCCGATGCCAGTCTTCGCCCCAACCGCCAATCAGTGTCGTTGCTGTCCTCTGCTGGACGTTAGATATGGTTCTTAGGGCTAATAGGATCAAGGGTTATGGGGAGAAATCGCGAACAGAATACTGAGTTGGTTGATCAGCGATGATCATATGGAATGGCAGAGCAGCCTCAAAGTGCCAAATGGCACTTTCTCCTTTTATAATTCATCGTGTCCTCTATTGCTTAGCACCTGTTTGCTGAAATAAATCAAAGATTGCAGATGCTGGAGAACTGAAATAAACAAAAAAGAGAGAGTCACTGGACTTGAAATGTTAATGTGTTTTCTCTTTATAGATGCTGTCAGACCTGCTGAGTTTCTCCAGCAACTTCTGTTTTTAGCTGTTCACTGATGCTCAGTTTGGGTTCTGTTCAGGTCACACAGCACCTGACCTCATTACAGCCAAACATGGACAAAAGAGCTGAACTCCAGAGGGGAGGAGAGAGTGGTGGGCAAATTATCGGAGAGGATTCTGAGAGATAGTGTTTATGATTATTTGGAGAAGCCCAGTTTGATTAGAAATAGTCAGCATGGCTTTGTGAGGGACAGGTCATGCCTCACAAGCCTTGTTGAATTCTTTGAGGATGTGACAAAACACATTGATGAAGGCAGAGCGGTGGATGTGGTGCATATGGATTTTAGCAAGGCATTTGATAAGGTTCCCCATGGTAGGCTCGTTCAGAAAGTAAGGAGGCATGGGATTCAGGGAAATTTGGCTGAATGGATACAAAACTGGCTGTCCAATAGAAGACAGAGGGTGGTAGTAAATGGAAAGTATTCAGCCTGGAGCTCGGTGACCAGTGGTGTTCCGCAGAGATCTGTTCTGGGACCTCTGCTCTTTGTGATCTTTATAAATGACTTGGATGAGGAAGTGGAAGGGTGGGTTAGTAAGTTTCCCTATTTACCATCTTGCTCCTTACATATGTATAAAATGCCTTGGGATTTCCCTTAATCCTGTTCACTGAAGACATTTCATTGCCCCTTTTAGCCCTCCTAATTCCATGTTTGAGTTCTTTCTGCTATCTTTATATTTTTCAAGTGCTTTGTCTGTCTTCAGTTTCCTAACCCTTATGCATGTCTCTTTTTTCTTTTTGACTAAGCTCTCAATTACTCTTGTCACCCAAGGTTCCTGAATCTTGCGATCCTTATCCTTCATTTTCACAGAACAGCCTACCTTTAAAAGATGCCTACATGCCAGATGTGAATTTACCCTCAAACAACCTCTGCCCCCAATCTATATTACATCTACTGGTTCTCTTTCATCCACACTACTACTGGTTTGGAAGAGAAGTCCCTTCTCCTTGACGGTTAAAAATCTTTGGAATTGTCTACCTCAGAATGTTGCTGAAGCTACATTGTTGAACGCATTCAAGATTGAGATTGATAGCTGAGATTGAGATTTTAGCTGTCAGGAAATCAAATGTCTGTTGGGAGTAGGTATGAAAGTGAGATAAAGATAGAAGATCAATCACAGCTGAGTTGAAAAGCCAAGCAATCTTGAGGGACTAAATGGTTTACATTTACTTCTGTTTCTTGTGCTTGTATGCAAAAACCAGAACAATCATCGTACAGTTAAGAAGAATGCCCTTTTTTGGCAGACATTTTAACTATATTCAGTGTTGATGCAGAGTTTCAAACTAATACAGTTCACTGCTCAGAGATAAAATTGGGTAAAACTGAGGGTAAGCTAGTAAGGTGCAGTGATTTCAATTTGACTATTCTCTATTTTCACAGGTGAAAATGTAGTTCACTGTTTAGCAACTGGCTTTGGAAACACATATATTTCCACCTTCACTGAAATCCAGTTTGAGTTTCGTGGACACTGCTCGTATGTTCTACTCAGGGATAATAGTGACCCTCAAGGCTTCAGTATTTTGGTAAGTGAAGTAAAAACAATATCTTTATGTGTTATTGGAATTGGTGTTGATAACAAGCATTTTACTGTCAAAAGTAGTTGAAGAGATTCAGAGAAGTATTACAGCACTGAAAGAAGTCTGTCAGATGTTGAGTCAACTCCAGCTCTCTGCAAGAGATTCAGCTAGTCCCATGCACTGTCCTTCTCATGCAGCCCTTTCTGTGCAGGTGTTTATCCAATCTCCTCTTGAAAGACACAATTTAAACTTTCTCCACTATGTTTCTAGGCTATATATTCCAGATCCTATCTGCTTGCTATGTAAAATAATCTGATTTTCATGCCATCTATTGCTTGTATCTGAGATCTGACTCTTCTTGCTTTCACACAAAAAGCTTTTTTTTCTCTGCCTATACACCTCAAGATTTTGAACAGCTCTATCACATCTCATCTCAACCTAATTTTGTCTAAGGATAACAACCCAGCCTCTCCAACTTATCCATATAATTGCAATTGAATTTCCTCATCTCTGGAATCATTTGCATGAATCTGTTGTGCATCTTTGACAAAACCTTCAACATTGTTTTCATCAGATGTGAACAATACTAGCAAAGCCAGTATTTGTTATACCATCCCTAAATGCCCAGGAAAAGGTTGCCTTCTGAACCACTGCAATCCATTTGGTGCATAAAAACGTACAAACTAGGATCAGGAGTGGGCCGTTTAGCCCCTTGAGCCTGCTGCACCATTTAATACGATCATGGCTGATCTAATCCCAGCCTCAACTCCACTTTCCTGCTCACTCTTTGTAACCCTTCAACCCATAACTAATTAAAAGTCAGTTTATTCCCTCAAATTTACTCAGTGTCCTGACATCCACCACACTCTGATCACCACAGATTCACGACCCTTTGATAGAAGTAATTTCTCCTCATCTCTGCTACTCCTTATCCTACAACTGTGACCTCTTGTTCTAGATTGCCTTACTTGAGGAACCATCCATTTTGCATCTACAGTGTCAATCCCCTTTAGCATCTTGTATACTTCAATTAGATTTCCCCTGATTCTTCTAAACTCCAGAGAATATAAGCCTAAATTGCTCAATGTCTCTTCATAAGGCAAACCCCTGTCGAAATAATTTACTGAACCTCCTCTGAACTGCTTCTAATACATCCCTCTTCAAGTAAGATGACCAATATTGTATGCAAGAGATTCAGTAATACTTGTACATCTATTCCTTTAGCAATAAATGCTGAAATGTGTTACCTGCCCTACCTGCGTGCTAGTTTTCTGCAAAGAATGCATGAGGACAACCAGATTTCTCTGCACTAAAGCACTCAGAACTTTCTCTCCATTTAAATAATAAGTTGCCTTTTCATTCCTCTGACAAAATTTAGCTGTAGTACTTTCCACCCCTGCATCAAAATAATTAATATGGATTGTAAATAGTTGGGGCCTGATGACTGAAACCTATAGCTCCCCACCAGTTACATCTTGCCAACCAGAAAATGACCTATTTATCCTGACTCTCTGCTTTCTGTTAGTTAACCAATCCTCTATTCAATCTAATGAATTGCCCAAAACTTCATGTGATCTTACCTTGTGTCTTAATGTTTTGTGCAGCAACTAATCAAATATTCAATGGAGAATATTCAATGTGGTGCTCAGTTACAAGTGGTGTATCACAAAGATCTGTTCGCCTCATTACAGGAAAGATGTGGAAGCGTTGGAAAAGGTGCAGAGGATATTTACCAGGATGTTGCCTGGAATGGAAGGAAGGTCTTACGAGGAAAGTTTGAGAGAGCTAGGGCTTTTCTCTTTAGAACGTCGAAGGATGAGAGGTGATTTGATAGAGGTGTACAAAATAATCAGAGGTATAGATAGAGTGGACAGCCAGAGACGTTTTCCTAGGGTGGAGGTAGCTATTATGAGGGGGCATAGTTTTAAAGTGAGCGGAGGTAGATATAGGGGAGACGTCAGAGGTAGCTTCTTTACTCAGAGAGTGGTAGGGGAGTGGAACGCATTGCCGGAGAGGGTAGTGGAGTCGGCCTCATTAGGGGCATTTAAGCGGCTATTAGATAGGCATTTGGATGATAGTATAAGTTAGGAGTGGAGGTTAGATAGACCTTAGATTTAGGGTAAAAGTTCGGCACAACATCATGGGCCAAAGGACCTGTACTGTGCTGTACTGTTCTATGTTCTATGTTCTAAATGAGGAAGTGCAGATAAACTACATCTGCAGGATCCCCATTATCAACGCTGCATACTATTATTTTTTCTTTTTTCATTAATGGGATCACGACCTTGCTGGCTAGGCAGCATTTATTGCCCACCCCTAATTGCTTAGAGGGTGGTTAAGAGTCAACCATGTTGCCATGGGTCTGGAATCACATGTAGGCCAGACCAGGTAAGGATGGCAGTTTCCTTCCCTAAAGGACATTAGTGAACCAGATAGGCTTTTCCGACAATCGACAATGGATTCATGGTCATCTTTAGATTCTTAATTCCAGATTTTTATTGAAGTCAAATTCCACCATCTGCAGTGGCGGGATTCGAACGCAGGTCCCTAGAACATTACCTGGGTCTCTGGATTAACAGTCCAGTGATGATACTACTAGGCCATTGCCTCCCCAATTATCTCTTTGAAGAACTCTAGCAAATTAATCAAGCATGATGTACTGGTCATAAAACCATATTGACACTGATGGATTGCTTTTTTTACTTTCCAAATGTCCTGTTATTACTGTTCGGTAGTTTCTTATGTTTTGACTCTCTTCCTTTTGAATAAGGGCATTATATTAGCATCTTTCCAATCCATTGGAAGGTTTCCTGCATACAGAGGTTTTTGGAATATTGTAACCAATGGATTCATGATCTCTGCTGCCACATGTCTTCAGACCCAAGGATGTAGGCCATCAAGGCCATGGGGACTTGTTTGCCTTCTATCTGAATAGTTTGCTCAGTACTTATTCCTTAGTGCTGAAGATTGTTCTAAGTTCCTGTCTTTTTTATAAACTCTGTATTACTATTGGGAATGTTCCAATGCCCTCCACCATGAAAACTTAAGCATAATATTGTTTATGACTCTGCCATTTTTGTGTTCTCCAATGGACCAACATTCATTTTATGATTTTTTTTCTTTTATATACTTATATGCTAAGCTTTTATGACCCGTTTTTATATTTTGTGCTAATTTCCTTCCATAATTTACTTTTGCTGTTTTTATGACTCTTTTAATAACTATTTGTTGATCTTGAAAATTGGTATGCCTTAGTTCTTATATTATTTTTAATTTCCTGGGTACATCCATTAAGTTAATGGTGTAGGGATGGTGGCGAGGTCAGCCAGATGGACCTCATAGAATTAGCTCCCTGATTGGGGCTGTTAATCTGGCTGACAGATATGTCAGGATATAACAGGAGTACCAGAGGTTCTGTTCACTCTGAGAGCTAGCTCTGAGGAAGGTTGACCAGTGTCAACTACTATGCACATGTACATAAAGAGTGACTTGGTGATGGGATACTGGTCTCATACAGTGGTGATATGAGTGTGATTAATGATATAATCATGCAAAAACTCCTACTAGCTGAAGCCCAACTGGCTTTGTCGTTAGAAAATGTGGCAAGTGGAGCAGATGAGTTACAGGATGTGCCGATGGAAGTGGACACCCTCGCCAGGTCGACTGAGCTTGAGGTAACACCACTTGAGTGAAGGCAATTGCATAGCCTCACTCAGGAAATATCCTGAACAGAGGGATGAAAGGTCAGCCCTCAGAAAAGCCCCAAAACAAAGCCAAGCCTCTGCCAAATGGTTAACATTTTGTTCAGGATCCGGGCCGGCAGGCCGCTGTGGTTGCTGCTGGCATGTGGACTCGAGACAGCGAAAGCATCTCACTAGGCCTGAATTGAGTAAGAGAAATCATAGGCCAGTATCCAGGAGAGTGCACATCCTGGAATGCCCACATACATGTGGCTTGGAACAGTGAAATTGCTTTGCAATATACAAATCAGAACAAATCAAAATAAGCATCTGGTTAAATTGTCACCCAGTTCTGGTGATTGCAGAACCAGTCTTTAACAAAATTTTCTCTGTACTCCATAAGTTTGCATAAGACCTTGGCTAGACTGAGAAACTATACTGGGGAATCTTTACAGATTAAGGGTACAACTTCAGTTCTAGTCTCGTATGAGAAGCAGCTGGTTAAGTTACCACTGATTGTAGTAAAAGCCATGGGCCCGAGCCTGATGGGGCAAATTGGTTGAGAAAGATTCATGTTGATTGGCTGAATAATTTTTGATTAGAAAATTGTTGTCTGAGTGAAGTCCTAATTAAATACCCAGAAGTTTTTCAGGAGTATCTAGGGACTATCAAAGGAGCCAAGATCACTTTGTGTGTTGGCCAAAAAGCAATTCCATGATTCTGCAAGGCCCGCCCAGTGCCATTTGCCTTATGTACAAAAGTAGAGGCAGAAATCAGGAGCTGGAAGGTAAAAGAATCATCAAACCAGCCCAGTTAGCAGAATGGACAACAATTGTGAAGCCCAAAGAATCAGTTCACCATTGTGAGGATTTTAAACAAATGGTAAACTGCTTCTTGCAGATGAATAAAACCCAATCTCTCGCACAGATGATTTATACGCAAAGCTGGCAGGGGTGCTGTCCTTCAAAAAGCTGGATGTGAGCAATGCATACTGCAATTGTGGTTAGATGAGGATTCCCAGTGGTATGCTACAGTTAATACCCGTAAGGATTTATACCACTATATGAGACTGCCGTTTGGGGTATCATTGGCTTGTGCCAATTTTCAGCGGGAGATGAAGAACATTTCACAAGGTCTACCTCAGGTTGCCATTTATCTGGATGATATGCTAATACCAGGGAGAACCAATGAAGAACATTTAGAGAACTTGGATGTATTCCTTGGCCATTTCTCCAAAGTGGTGTACACTTTAGAAGGGAAAAATGTGTGTTCTAGGCACTCCAATTGACACACTTGGGCTACAGAGTTCACAAGAATGGGTTACACCCATTGGAAGATAAAGTGAGGGTGATCAAAGGTGCCCTGACTCCCATGTCAGTGCTGGAATTCTGGTCTTTCCTTGAATTGGTTAAGAATTACAGAAAGCTCATATGTAACCTGGCCTCCATCCTGGCACCCTCACATCTGCTATTGAAAAAGGGTCAGCCTTGGAAATGGTCTTGCAGCCAAGATGTAGATTTTAGGGAAGTGAAGAAGCAACTATCATGTTGGCACACTATGATCCCAACTGAGATGTGGTGTTGACGCGTGTACCGTATCAGGTAGTGTTGGCCCATTGGAGAGGAACACCCAACAGCGTATGCTTTCCAGACTTTAGTTGATGTAGACAGCACATATGCTCAGATAGAGAACAACAGTTTGGTGTCTTCTTTGATGTGAGAAAGTTCCACCAATGCCTTTACAGTCGTAAATTTGTATAGTAACGGACTACAAAACAGGGCGAGTCAGAGAGGACAAGGCTATACCGCCCCTAGCTTCAGGTTGAATTCAGCGGTGGGCTTTCATTCGAAATGCATACAATTGCAAGTTGGAACACAGGAGGCCAAGTAACAAATGTGGATGTCTTGAGACACCATTGGAAGAGACTGTTCTGGTTTTAAACTCTCTGGACACCCTTCCAGTCACTGCTGACAGTATCAGACTGTAGATGCAAAAAATTGTGGTCCTGGCAAAACTGGGGAGGTGATGGCCTAGAGGTGTTATTTGCTGGACTCTTAATGCAGACCCAGGTAATATTCTGGGAACCCAAGTTCGAATCCTTTTATGGCAGATGGTGGAATTTGAATTCAATAAAAAAAATCTGGAATTAAGAGTCTAATGATGACCATGAAAATATTGTTGATTGACTTTCTAGTTCACTAATGTCCTTTAGGGAAGGAAACTGCCATCCTTACCTGGCCTGGCCTACATGTGACTCTAGACCCACAGCAATGTGGTTGATTCTTAACTGCGCTCTGGGCAATTAGGTATGGGCAATAAATGCTGGTGTGGCCAGCAATGCCCTCGTTCCCTGAATGAATTAAAATAACTAAAACAGTTGGAGGCGATGGGGGAAAACAAAAGAGTCATCACAACCAGTGTTGAAAGCTTTCTGGACTTAGTGAGACCAGATCACCATAGAGGATGGCAAGAACGATTGTCCCAAGCAAAGGTTACTGCCGAATACTGGCTGAACTCCATCAGGGTCATCCAAGGATGCCCAAAGTGAAAATGTTGGCGAGAAGTGATGCCTGATGGCCAAGATTGGATGCAGACATAATTTGTGGGGTAGTGCCCAGAATGCCAACAATGACATATATTACCGCCTGCAGCTCCTCCACGTTCGTGGGGTTAGCCGGGTTAACCTTGGTCTCGGTTACACGTTGACTATGGCAGTCCTTTCATGGGATCAGCATTCTTAGTCATTATAGATGCGTGCTCAAAGTGGTTAGACTTGCGTAGAGTTGTCCTTAGGTTTATGTTTTTGCTTGACTGGTGTATATCAGTCATCCTCCTTTGTCAGATCATCCTGCTGTTTTAATGACTTCTTTTAAGGATCAGAGTTTCAATGAATAAACATCTGTTTGTAAAGATGTGAACATTATCACTATTATTCCTTGGCTATCTTACAGAAAAGTTGGCTCCGAGAACAGATTGTCCCATCTATAGTTTAACTAAGTTTTGTGTCCTTATAATTTATCCACAGCTAACAGCTTACAACTGTGCCATTAAATGCTGCTCTGCAAGTTATTTCATTGTGTTAAAACAGACTTTTCAGGGGTCAAACAGTACCAGCATCAGCTGTAAATGATAGACAGGGGTAAAACTTGAGTCAGTGGGGATCAGGGAGAATCCTCTGCTGGTTGGAGTCACACCTGAGACGGAGGAAGATGGTTGTGGTTCTTGGAGGTCTGTCATTTCAGCTCCAGGGCATCTCTGCAGGAGTTCCTCAGGGTAGTGCCCTAGGCCCAACCATCTTCAGCTGCTTCATCAATGACCTTCCCTCCATCATTAGATCAGAAGTGTTCGCTAATGACTGTACAACGCAGTGTTCACAACTCCTCAGATACTGAAATAAAACAAACAACTGCGGATGCTGAAAATCTGAAATAAAACAATTGCTGTATAAACTCAGCAGGTTAGGCAGCATCTGTGAACAGAAAGCAGAATTAATGTTTCAAGTCCATTGACCCTTCTTCAGGGCATCTACTACATGCACTGTAGAAATTCCCCAGACATCCTAAGACAGCTCCTTCCAATCCCAAAAAACACACCACCACTTCATGTTTTCCTCCAAGCCACTCACTGTCCTGTCTGAGAAACATTGTTGTTCCTTCCATGTTGCTGAGTCAAATCCTGGAATTCTGTCCCTAACAGCATTGTGGGTCTGCCAACAGCTCTTGGATTGCAATGAATTAATGAGGCAGTTCACCATCACCATCACCATAACCATCAAGGGCAACTAGGAATAGGCATCAAATGGGTCCAGCCAGTGATACCCATGTGCCACAAATGACTTTGGAAAAAAAGCTCCAGAGTGAGAAAAACTAATTGGTGGAGAGTGGGCTTCAATGGGGCAAGAACAGAGCTGGGCAGGATTGACTGGAGTGAGGTTGTCAGGAAAAACTATAACTGAACAATGGACTACCTTCAAACAGTCATAGAATCGTAGAGTTTAGAATACAGCAGGAGGTCATTCAACCTACCTTGTCTGTACGAGCTCCACGAAGGCTACCCAGGTATTCCCATTCTCTAGCCCTATCTCCTTAGCCCTTTAAATTCATCACTTTCAAATATATATCCAGCTCTCTTTTGAAACCTCAAATGGAATCTGTTTCCATCATGTTTCCAGCCAGTGCACTACAAATCCTAACAATTCGACTGAAGGGTTTGAGATACAGGGAGAGGCTGAATAGGCTGGGTCTATGTTCCCTGGAGTATCAGAGGCTGAGGGGTGATCGTACAGAAGTTTATAAAATCATGAGGGGCATGCATAGAGTGAATAGCCAAGGTCTCTTCCCTAGGGGAGCCGAGTCCAAAACTAGAGGGCACAGGTTTAAGGTGAGAGGGGAAAGATTTTAAAGGGACCTACGGGACAACATTTTCACGCAGAGGGTGGTACGCATATGCAGTAAGCTGCCAGAGGAGGTGGTGGAGGCTGGTACAATTGCAATATCAATAGGAAGGATTTAGAGGGATACGGGCCAAATGGTGGCAAACGGGACTAGATTTATTTAAATATCTGGTCGGTATGGACAAGTTTGGACTGTTTTCATGCCATACATCTTGATGACTCTATCCTTCCTAAAATAAAGTGCTCACAATTGAACACAATACTCCAAATATGTTCTGACCAAAGATTTGGAGAAGTGTAGCATCACCTCCTTGCTTTTAGACTCCATGCCTCTATTTGTAAATCCAAGAATCCTATAAGTCTTTTTAGCAACTGTTTCAAATTGCCTGGCCACCTTCATATTCCCTCAAATGAGTACCATAGATTAACCGAATCCAGAACTTGCTGGATGATAAATGAAGTGGAAGGTAAGATAAAGGAGAAAAGGTATGTTTATGACGAGTGTCAGGTAGAAAACAAAATTGAGAACCAAGAGGAGAGGTGAGAAGGCAAGTAAGAAAAGCAAAGAGGAATTATGAGATTAGACTGACTGCCAACATAAAGAGATGTCTCAAAGTCCTCTGTGGCCAATGTAAATTAGTAAAAGGATGGTAAATGGAGGAGGACTAATTAAGCACCAAAAACAGGATGTACGTCAGGGGCAGAGGCCATGGCTAAAGTGTTAGATGGATAGTTTGCATCAGTGTTTATCAAAGTGGGAGATACTACCCAGGTAATGGTGACAGAGGGAACTCAGTATCTGGAAGAGTTCAAAATTGACAGGGCAGAAGTGTCGGATAGACTGTAGGTAATTAACGTTGACAAGGTATTTGGACCTCATCTAAGGATTTTAAAGGAAGTAACTTTTGATTTGATTTATTGTTGTCACATGTACTGAGATTTCACCCAGTGAACATAGTGCAGAATACAGTGTCACAGCCACAGAGAAAGTGCAGGGAGGGAGAGATCAACATTAACATTTGAGAGGTCGGTTCAAAAGTCTGATAACAGCGGGGAAGAAGCTGTTCTTGAATCTGTTTGTACAAGTATTCAAACTTTTATATATTCTGCCCAACAGAAGAGAGTGGAAGAGTTATAACTGGGATTGGTGGGGTGGAGGGTTCTTTTATTATTTTGGTTGCTTTCCCAAGGCAGTGGGAAATATAGATGAAGTCAATGGATAGAAGTCTTGTTAGTGTGAAGAATTGGACTGTGTTCACAACTTTCTGTAGTTTCTTGTGAAGAGAGGAAATTGCAGGACCACTGACCACAAACTTTCATTTTGGACTTGGGCGAGACCTTAGACCATTAGCTCTCAATCTGGCCTTTATAAAGAGAAAAGCCATTTACAATGTATTTTTTGTTGATAGGTATAACTGTGCAGTATTGGTGCCAACTAGATTAGAAGAATAAATCATGGCCTGCCGAAGTGTTGATCTAAAACTGCATCTGTTTCATACAAGTCATTGTCTGTTATCATCTGATTACAGTTGGACCAAAAAAAGGATTGTCTCAAAGGGAAATGTACGCGGAAGATCATATTCAGCAAAGGCAATATTCCGGTTCTAGAACTACTCACCATTGCAGACTTCCTTCAACAATACGGGTAAGGAGCAAAGAGATTGTAGGGACATAGGAGCAGGAATTAGCCATTTAAACCCTCAATCTGATTTTACCATTCATAAAGACTATATATAATATGTAAAACTTTAACCCCATATCCCTTTGTAACTTTAACAGAACTTCTGAGAAAATCATCTTCCAAAAATCTAAATGGCTAGCAATATGACTCCCTTTTGCGTAATCACACCTTGAAATGTAATCCTTGGAGGTCATGAAACCCATGACTTGTATCAACGAGAAGGAAAATGGCAGGACATACATGGGAACACCACCACTCACAATTGCTCCATGTCACCAACTTGACTTGAAACTATATAGCCATTCTTCCCCTATTAAAAAAGGACTGTTAAAATCCTGGAAATCCCTCCTATTCATGCAAGAACACCACATAGACTGTAGCAGTTCAAGAAATCAGCTCACAATAAGTGACCTTTTGGTCATTTTATAGTCTTATGAAGGGGGTTAAGGGGTACAGGGGGAAGGGTTGAAAAACATATTAACCATGACCAAACGGTGGTGAAGACCCGATGGGCCAAATGGCCTAATTCCACTCATGTATCTTATAGAGTCATACAACATGAAAACAGATCTTTCGGTCCAACCAGTCCATGCCGAACATAGTCCCAAACTAAACTAGTCCTACCTGCCTGTTCCTGGCCCATATCTCTCCAAACCTTTCCTATTTGTGCAGTTATCCAAATATCTTTTGAATGTTGCAATTGTACCCACATCTACCACTTTGTCAGAAAGTTCATTCCACATGCGAGCCAAAATTTGCCCCTCATGTCTTTTTAAAATTTCTCCCCTCTCACCTAAAGAATGTGCCCTTAGTCTTGAAATCCCCTATCCTAGTGAAACGACAACTACCATTAACTCATAGAACATAGAACATAAAACATAGAACAGTACAGCACAGTACAGGTCCTTCGGCCCACACTGCTGTGCCGAACTTTTACCCTAATCCTAAGGTCTGTCTAACCTCCACCCCTACCTTATGCTATCATCCATGTGCCTATCTAATAGCCACTTAAATGGCCCTAATGAGGCCGACTCCACTACCCACTCCGGCAATGCATTCCACGCCCCTACCACTCTCTGAGTAAAGAACCTACCTCTGACGTCTCCCCTGTATCTAACTCCACTCACTTTAAAACTATGCCCCCTTGTAATAGCTACCTCCACCCTAGGAAAAAGTCTCTGGCTGTCTACTCTATCTATACCTCTGATCATTTTGTACACCTCTATCAAGTCACCTCTCATCCTTTGTCGTTCTAAAGAGAAAAACCCTAGCTCTCTCAACCTTTCCTCATAAGACCTTCCCTCCATTCCAGGCAACATCCTGGTAAATCTCCTCTGCACCTTTTCCAACGCCTCCACATCTTTCTTGTAATGAGGCTACCAGAACTGTGCACAATACTCCAGAGGTGGCCGAACCAGGCTTTTGTAAAACTCGATCTATAAGATCACCTCTCAACCTCTTACACTCCAGTGAAAAATTCCTAGCCTATCCAGCCTTTCTTTATAATTCAAACCTTCCATATCCAGCAAGGGAAATTTGGGATGTGCAATAAATGCTGGCTAGCAAACACTTCCTCCAAGACCAATATAGTCAGTGTAAAGTCTGATGCATCAGAAACAAACAACGTGCTCCAGCTGGGCTTAACCAATGCTACATTAGCCGCTACATAACTTCAAAATTGCTGCATTTGGAGAAAATATGGCTTGTGCTGTTTGTCAACACTTTTTGTCTTGCTTTTGTTAGGACAATTTGTAAGAAATGCCAAAATAGAGCGAAAAGTGCATGAAAACTATATGAGAAGAGAGTACTAGTTTGTTTGCAAGTCGACTCTGATAAGTGGAAGTGTTGACGTACAGAATACACGAATTAGTGAAAACAGACAGTTAACTGTCAACCTTTGTTTAAATTTTAAACAAGGTAGATTGACTTTGATTCGTTAAGGCACTGACATGAGAAATGAATCAGAGACTGACTATCACCTATTTTGTTCCACTAAAACAGATCAAAGTGAACATGTTCTTTCTGTCTGCAAAGAACATGGTATTAGTTATTGATACACCTAGCATTCAATACATACGAGAATGTCATATTGTGAGTCTGACTGATAATCTTAAATGGTTCACAGCACAACACATGTCCAACATTAGATGTGATTCTGCAACTTCATGATATTTGCTACATAATTGTGAGGGTGCGAAGAATTATGCTGACAATCAATTTGGGATTGTCTGTTGGGCTCACTGTTTGGTGCACTCAGCTCATGATCTTAATACAGCCTTGGTATAAATATTAACAAGAACAGAGCTCCAGAGGTGACGTGACAATGGCTTCTCCTACCATTCAGAAATAGCAAGAACTGCAGAAGCTGGAGTCAGAGACAAAGAACAAAGAAAATTACAGCACAGGAACAGGCCCTTCGGCCCTCCAAGCCTGCACCAATCCAGATCCTCTATCTAAACCTGTCACCTATTTTCCAAGTATCTGTATCCCTCTGCTCCTGGCCTGTTCATGATTCTGTCTAGATACATCTTAAATGATGCTATTGTGCCCGCCTCTACCACCTCCACTGGCAACGCATTCCAGGCACCCACCACCCTCTGCGCAAAGAACTTTCCACGCATATCTCCCTTAAGCTTTTCCCCTCTCACCTTGAAATCGTGACCCTTAGTAATTGAGTCCCCCACTCTGGGGAAAAGCTTCTTGCTATCCACCCTGTCTACACCTCTCATGATTTTGTAGACCTCAATCAGGTCCCCCCTCAACCTCCGTCTTTCTAATGTAAATAATCCTAATCTACTCAACCTCTCTTCATAGCTCGCGCCCTCCATACCAGGCAACATCCTGGTGAACCTCCTCTGCACCCTCTCCAAAGCATCCACATCCTTTTGGTAATGTGGCGACCAGAACCGTACGCAGTATTCCAAATGTGGTCGAACCAAAGTCCTACACAGCTGTAACATGACCTGCCAACTCTTGTACTCAATACCCCGTCCGATGAATGAAAGCATGCCGTATGTCTTCTTGACCAATCTATCGACCTGCGTTGCCACCTTCAGAGTACAATGGACCTGAACACCCAGATCTCTCTGTGCATTAATTTCCCCCAGGGCAAATCCATTTACCGTATAGTTTGCTCTTGAATTGGATCTTCCAAAATGCATCACCTCGCATTTGCCTGGATTGAACTCCATCTGCCATTTCTCCGCTGTACTCTCCAATCTATCTATATTCTGCTGCATTCTCCGACAGTCCCCTTCACTATCTGCTGCTCCACCAATCTTAGTGTCATCTGCAAACTTGCTAATCAGACCATCTATACCTTCCTCCAGATCATTTATGTATATCACAAACAACAGTGGTCCCAACACAGATCCCTGTGGAACACCACTGGTCACAGTTCTCCATTTTGAGAAACTCCCTTCCACTACAACTCTCTGTCTCCTGTTCCCCAGCCAGTTCTCTATCCATCTAGCTGGTACACCCTGGACCCCATGCAACTTTACTTTCTCCATCAGCCTACCATTGGGAACCTTATCAAATGCCTTACTGAAGTCCATGTATATGATATCTACAGCCCTTCCCTCATATATCAACTTTGTCACTTCCTCAAAGAATTCTATCAAGTTGGCAAACCATGACCTTCCCTGCACAAAACCATGCTGCCTATCACTAATAAGCCCATTTTCTTCCAAAGCTAAATAGATCTTATCCCTCAGTACCTTCTCCAGCAGTTCCCCACCACTGACGTCAGGCTCACCGGTCTAAAATTTCCTGGATTATCCTTGCTCCCTTTCTTAAACAACGGGACAACATTAGCAATTCTCCAGTCCTCCAGGACCTCACCCCTGCTCAAGGATGCTGCAAAAATATCTGTTAAGGCCCCAGCTATTTCCCCTCTCGCTTCCCTCAGTAACCTGGGATAGATCCCATCCGGACCTTGGGACTTGTCCACCCTAATGCCTTTTAGAATACCCAACACTTCCCCCCTCCTTATGCTGACTTGACCTACAGTAATCAAACATCTATCCCTAATCTCAACATCCGTCATGTCCCTGTCCTCAGTGAATACCGACGCAAAGTACTCATTAAGAATCTCACTTTTTCTCTGACTCCTCGCATAACTTCCCTCCTTTGTCCTTGAGTGGGCCAACCCTTTCTCTAGTTACCCTCTTGTTCCTTATGTATGAATAAGGGCTTTGGCATTTTCCTTAACCCTGTTTGCTAAAGGTATTTCATGACCCCTTTTAGCCCTCTTAATTCCTCGTTTCAGATTGCTCCTACTTTCCCAATATTCTTCCAAAGCTTTGTCTGTTTTCAGTCGCCTAGACCTTATGTATGCTTCCTTTTTCCTCTTTGCTAGTCTCACAATTTCCCCTGTCATCCATGGTTCCCTAATCTTGCCCTTTCTATCCCTCATTTTCACAGGGACATGTCTGTCCTGAACTCTAATCAACCTCTCTTTAAAAGCCTCCCACATTTCAAATGTGGATTTACCCTCAAACAGCTGCTCCCAATCCACATTCCCCAGCTCCTGCCGAATTTTGCTATAGTTGGCTTTCCCCCAGTTCAGCACTCTTCCTTTAGGACCACTCTCGTCTTTGTCCATCAGAATTCTAAAACTTACGGAATTGTGATCACTATTTCCAAAGTAATCCCCTACTGAAACTTCAAACACCTGGCCGGGCTCATTCCCCAACACCAGGTCCAATATGGCCCCTTCCCAAGTTAGACTATTTACATACTGCTCTAGAAAACCCTCCTGGATGTTCCTTACAAATTCTACTCCATCTAAACCCCTGACACTCAGTGAATCCCAATGTTGGGAAAATTAAAATCTCCCATCACCACCATCCTGTTGCTCCTACATCTTTCCATAATCTGTCTACATATTTGTGCCTCTATCTCACGCTCGCTGTTGGGAGGCCTGTAGTACAGCCCCAACATTGTTACTGCACCCTTCCTATATCTGAGCTCTGACCATATTGCCTCACTTCTTGAGTTCTCCATAATGCCCTCCTTCAGCACAGCTGTGATATCCTCTTTGACCAGTAATGCAACTCCTCCACCCCTTTTACCTCCCTCTCTATTCCACTTGAAGCATCTATATCCTGGGATATTTAGTTGCCAATCTTGCCCTTCCCTCAACCAAGTCTCAGTAATAGCAATAACATCATACTTCCAGGTACTAATCCAAGCCCTAAGTTCATCTGCCTTACACTTACACTTACACTTCTCGCATTAAAACAAATGCACCTCAGACCACCTGTCCCTCTGCATTCATCATCTGCTCTCTGCCTACTCTTCCCCTTAGTCACACTGACTTCATTATCTAGTTCCTTACAGGCTTTAGTTACTACCTTCTTACTGTCCACTAACCACCTCATTTGGTTCCCATCCCCCGCCACATTAGTTTAAACCCTCCTCAACAGCGTTAGCAAAAGACAATACAGTGTGGAAAAAGCCCATAGAACTGTGGATGCTGTAAATCAGGAACAAAAACAGAAGTTGTTGGAAAAGCTCAGTAGGTCTGGCAGCATCTGTGAAGAGAAAATCAGAGTTAATGTTTTGGTTCCGGTGACCGTTCCTCAGAAGGTCTATGGGTCAGGATCCAGTTACAGAGGATGGAGCCAAGATTTAGGTCTTGGAGCTGAACTGTTGAGGTGTCGGTGTTGGACTGGGGTGGACAAAGTCAAAAATCACATGACACCAGGTTGTAGAGCAACAGGTTTATTTGAAGACACAAGCTTCGGAGTCTCACTCCTTCTTCAAATGTCAGTGAGAGAGGTGGCATCGGACACAGAATTTATAAGCAAAAGATCAAAGCGTCATAGAACTGATGTGAATGTATTGAACAAACCTAAGATGGCTGTTAAATCTTTAATAGTTAGAAAGGAGATGCAGGTTTCGATTGATTAATATGCAAATCCCAGAATTTCTTTCAAGTCACTGCCCCAAGATAACTAAAGGCTTTATCAGTATACCAGAGGTGACATCTGAGATCAGACAATGCATTATAGGTGTGCGGCCTTATTTAGAATCTGTCTGTGTTTTAATTTGGAGTCATACTGGTTTGTTTCCAAAGTATGAATTTATAAAATAACACATTGACTGTTGACAAATTGAGTGCTTTTTGAACAAAATTGAATGTATCTGCAATCACAAATCTGCCAACGCAAATTCACCCATAGATTTATATGTGACTCTGTGTGTGTGTGTGTGTGTGTGTGTGTGTGTGTGTGTGTGTGTGTTTGTGTATGTGGGGGAGAGGCAAAGAGAGTGTGTGTGTGCACATGCTTGAGAGAAACTGAGTGTGTGTGTGAAACAGAGTGTGTGTATGAGAAAGGGTCTGTGTGACTATGTGTGTGTGAGTGTGTTTGTGTGAGAGAGAGTGTGTGTGTATGTGTGTGTGTGTGTGTGAGTATGTTTGTGAGAGTGTATAGTGTGATGGGCTCACCTGTAGTGTGACATGAACACAAGATCCTGGTTGAGACCATCCTCATGAGTACTGAACTTGTCTATCAGCCTCTGCTCGGTGACTCTGCGTTGTTGTGTATCCCGAAGTCTGCCTTGGAGGACGTTTACCCGAAGATCCGAGGCCAAATGTCCTGAACGGCTGAAGTGTTACCCCACCGGGAGGGAACATCCCTGTTTGGCGATTGTTGTGTGGCGTCCATTCACCCATTGTTGTAGCGTCTGCACGGTTTCACCAATATACCATGCCCCGGGGTATCCTTGCCTGCAGAGTATGAGATTGACAATGTTGGCCAAGTCACATGAGTATCTGCTGTGCACGTGTTGGGTAGTGTTCCCACATGTGAGGGTAGTGTCCATGCTGAAGATCAGACATGTCTTACAGAGGTTACCATGACAGGGTTGTATGGTGTTGTGGTCAATGTTGTCCTGAAGGCTGGGTAGTTTTGTTGTGAACTATGGTTCATGTTGCACTATAGGTGACCTCACCACACTATGCACACATACACACACACACATTCTCGCACAAACACACTCACAAACTCACACAGACCCTCTCTCATAGACACACTATCTCACACACACACACTGTCTCTCTCAAGCATGCACACACACATACACACACATTCTCTCTCTCTCTCTCACATATACACACTCTCTCTCTCTGTCGCACACACACACGCACACACACACACACACACACATGTACACACACACACGTACACACACACAATTTGCATTTGAAGATTTGTAATTGCAGATACATTAACATAGAAGCATAGAAAAATAGATTTGTAGACAGTCATTGTGGCATTTTATAAATTCCTACTTTGGAAATAAAACCAGTCTGATTCCAGGTTAATACACAGCCAGATTCTAAATAAGGCTTCACACCTAAAATGCAACCTCTTACCTGAGATGTCACCTCTGGTACACTAATAAAACCTTTAGCTATCTTGGGGCAGTGACTTGGAAGAAATTCTGGGACTTGCATATTAATCCTTACTAACTGATTAAAGATTTAACAGCCATCTTAGGTTTGTTCAGTACATTCACATCAGTTCTATGACCCTTTGATCATTTGCTTATAAATTCTGTGCCTGATGTCGCCTCTCTCAATGACACTTGAAGAAGGAGCGAGACTCCGAAAGCTTGTGTCTTCAAATAAACTGTTGCTCTATAACCCGGTGATATGTGATTTTTGACATCAGAGCTTTGAGATCAGTCTGAAGGGGATTATTGTGATGAAGGTGGAGCTCTAGTGGATGAGTCAGAGCCTGATGTAGGTGTCCTTGTTGTCCCAATGTTCCAGCGATGAGTGCAAGACTAGGGAAATGGTGAATAAAAAGTGAAAGAACTGAAAATGCTGTAATCTGTATGCCACTCTGTCTAAGTACTTTATGCTCTATATGTACTTGCTTACTATGATCTGTTTGTGCTGTTCGCAAACTAAGCTTTTCACTGTATGTGGGTACACGTGAGCACAATAAACAAAATAAATCAAATCAAATCAAGTTAAAGTTGGGGGGGAGGTTATAAGTTTATAATTTGATTGAAAGCTCCAAGTCTCTGTGCTAGGTACAATTCCAAACAGAGAGTTCACCCCAAATTCCCACTGACTTCAGTTTTGCTAGGGTTCCTTAATTTCATAAGTGGTCAAACACAGCCTGAATGGTAGCAGACAATACAGTGTGGAGCTGGAGGAACACGGCAGGCAAGGCAGCATCAGAGGCGGTCCCGAAACAAAATGTTAACTTTCCTGCTCCTCTGATGCTGCCTGGTCTGCTGTGTTCCTCCAGCTCCACACTGTGTTGTGGAAAAGCTCAGCAGATCTGGCAGCATCTGTGAAGAGAAAATCAGAGTTAATGTTTCGGGTCCGGTGACCGTTCCTCAGAACTCAGAATCGAGCATATAACTCTACTTAATATATTTGTGCACATATTAATATGTCTTTTGGAATTGTTAAAAGTAGATCTAACTTCTCTTTTGGGACATTTTACCTCTCTCAAAGAGGAACTTTCTTCCCAATAGCACTGTGGGTTTCTCTACATTACAAGTGCTGTGGCAGTTCAAGATGGCAGCTCAAGATCACAGTCACAAGGACATTTAGGAATGGGTATGACATAGCCAGTGATGTCCACATCCCACAAAAAATAGTATCTTCCTGGATAATGACTGTTTAAACAAAATACTTTAGGATGAATCATGCAGACCATGTCCTAATTAAAAGTTGCGGGGGGAGATGAAGAGGAAACTGGTGGCAAATAAAAGATAGTTCACTCATAAATGAATTGTGTTATCAACAGGATGTCTTTGCCAATGATCTACAATGGAATGTACATCTATGGCACTCAGCAAGAATTGTTTATCAAAATAAACAAGGGATTAACGGTCCTCTGGAATGGGAAAGGAACAATTACTGTTTCCATGAAGAAGCCAATTGATGTCACTGGACTTTGTAGTCATTCTGGTGGTAAGGAACAGTTCATGAAAAGTCCAATATTGTCAGATGAGACCTGGATTAGGGTTTGACTTATGATAAAAGTCTGAGTACATTTGGCTTATGATCCATGATGATGATGAGTGTTGTAATGGCATGGCTAAATTTAATCTTCAGATGATCACCACTGTGTGACCTATTTGGACTCTTGATCACCATGTTTAGATTTGTTGCCACTACTTGCCTTTGGGATCTTCAGGACTTGCTTGGTCTAGTGTGGTAAAACAAATGGCAGCAAAAAGGTGAAGCTCTTGTCTTGAACAAAATATAGATTATTGCATGATAACAAACATATACAAGATATTATTACAAGTACAATGAGGAGAACTTGATGCTTGGTCTGTCTCCATTGAGATCCAGAGTTGTGGTGCCTTTCTCCATTAAAATCTTGGTAGCTTTATTAGCTTGGGTGCAGCTTAATGTAATCTTTAGTATTAAGTGTTTCAGATCCATTACCTTATACAGAAATAAGGTTAAGGCATGGTCTGGTTAAGCTACTTATAAAACATTAATGATATTGATTCAATGATACCTTCAGGTTTGAAAAATCTACCAAATATTTCATGCAGTTAAATGTAGACCATGTTTGAGTGATGATTGGAGACTACCTTAAAATGTTAATAATATGTAACTGTCAACATTGATTGCTGAAAGAAGTAAGATTTTGTGGAAGGTTTTTGAAGCTTTGCACTGATCAGGACCATTTGCAAAAATACCAATCAAATTAATATTGAGCACCAAATGAAAAGCTTCGACAAGGTACAGCTCTTTTCAAAAATACCCAAGTTTAATGCTATCAAATGATAATTATTAACTTTTGTCAATTGATAGTGTATTGGTGTATTCAGCCATTATGTCTTCTTGCGTGTAGAACATAGTTTGCAAAGATATATTGTTAATGTATTGCAGATAAAAGAAAAGTCATTGTAAGTCATTTAGTACCTACCAAATGGATGTGACGCAAAAATTTAATTCTCCATTCTGTTTCTTTCTACATCCATCCAAATGATCCAACACACTAGTACTGCTTCAAAAACAGAAGTTTCTGGAAAAGCTTAGCAGGTCTGGCAGCGTCCGTGAAGAAAAAAATCAGAGTTAATGTTTTGGGTCTGGTGACCCTTCCTCAGAACTGATGGTAGCTAGGAATATGTCAGTTTATATGTAGCAGATAGGGTGTGAGCAGGGGATAAGGGGTAAATGATAGGTGGGGATAGAGCCCAAAGAGAGAGAAGAACAGAGATAACAAGGTGTAGAGCTGGATGAACACAGCAGGCCAAGCAGCATTAGAGGAGCAGGAACAGCTCTACATCTTGTTATCTCAGATTCTCCAGCATCTGCAGTTCCTACTATCTCTGAAAGAGAAGAACAGTTGGGCAAAGGAGTGGACAACGATCTGGCTGGGAGAGTGAATAGCTGTTAATGGAGACTGTAAGTCACTAACAGTAGGTAGTGTGTAATGGCAGACAATGTGATAACGAGGTCAAGTGTGTGGGGTTGGGGTCTAGGACATGGGAGAGTTCGGGCCCTAAAATTATACCTGTGATCGTGGGTGGGTTCAAAGCATGAGGGATGAAACTTGATTTAGAATCCATGTGGGGTGAATCTGAGCCTGAGTCATTCACTGAGGAATGTGATATGGCTGTGGAAACGAGTTTTTGCAAATACCTGGTCTACATGGGGAGGCAATGGCCTAGTGGTATTATTGCTGGACTGTTAATCCAGAGACCCAGATAATGTTCTGGGGACCTGGGTTCAAATCCCACCCTGGCAGCTGGTGTATTTTGATTTCAATAAAAATATATGGAACTAAGAGTCTAATGATGACCATGAATCCAGGTGTCCCCGGCTCAGCTGCTGCCATTGCCTCACTGTTGACCAGGAGTCCCCACTCATGGCCTACCATGTCCACAACGAGGAGCCCCTGGCTCTGCTGCCACCTCGATGATGCCAGGATGTGCTGCTCTGGGCATACCATGCTATCACCACTGTAGCCGCTGCCTTGCCAAGACAAGGAGCCTCGCTCTGGGCCTACTGTAAGCAGGAATCCCACCACACCAAGAGTCCCGCTCTGGCCATCCTACTGCAAGATGTTGCCTTGTCAGTGTTGCCATATTGAAGTGTCCGCTGTTGCCGCTGCCACCACCTCTAATTGCTGGAGGAGCTTTGCTGCCATCACCAGCCCTGTACGAGACCATCCTTACTACCACTGCCACTGCCTCCACTCGCTGGAAGGATATGATTCTGCTGCTGCCTCAGCTGCCACCACTTTGCATACAGCCTGCTCTTGCTGATGCGCCAATGCTGCTGACTATCCAATCAAAGAAAAGAGAAATGAAATAAAAAAAGAAAGGTAAAGAACAGAAGTAAAAAGGAAAAAAGAGAGCAGATGGGACCGGATGAGCCCCAGGCAAGACCCCACATGCAACCCTGCTACACAGGAACTGGAAGCAGGCCACCATCTGGCTGTGTCTGCTCTGCCATTCAATGAAATCATAGCACATCTAATAAAACTTAAATCTATTTTCCTGCCATTTCCCCAAAACCCTTGATTCCCTTCTTGATTAAAAATCTGCAAACCTCAGCCTTGAACATACTTAATAAATCCACCTCAATAGTCCTCTGTGGTAAAAAAAATCCTCACATTCACAATGGAGAAATTCCTCCTCATTTTTGTCTTAACTGTGCCACCCTTTATTCTGAGGTTATGCCCTCTGGTCCCAGATTCTCCCTCAAGGGGAAACAACCTTTCTGCATCTACCCTGTCAAGCCCTCTAAGAACCTTGTATGTTTAAATCAGGTTGCCCTCTCATTCTTCTATGTGCCAATGAACACAGGCACAATCTACTCCACTTCTCCTCATAAGACAATCTCCCCATACCTGGTGTCAGCTGAGTGAACCCTCACTGAATTGCCTCCAATGCCAGTATACCTTTCTTTAGATAAGTAGCCCATAACATTTTTTTCTAATACACATTCATGGGATGTAGGCACCATGGGCTAGGTCAGCATTTATTGCCCATCCCTAATTGCCCAGAGGGCAGTTAAGAGTCAGCAACATTGCTGTGAGCCTGGAGTCACATGTAAGCCAAACCAAGTTGGCAAGTTTCAATGTATTTTACCTACTGTCTGACTAGTGCCTGTTTAGAATTAGCAAAACCATGCTTTTATACTGTATTACCTTTGAAATAAAGGCCAAATTTCTATTTATTTTGTCTATTTCCCACTGAATTTGGATCTAACATTTTGTGATAGATGGACGATGGCTTGCTCTGTAGCATTTTGCACTCTTTCTCCATTTAAAACTCATTCAGCTCCTTTATTTTCTTGCCAAGTTATATGACCTCACACTTCCCCACACTATATTCTATCTGCCAATTATCTTCTCACTCATTAAACTATTTGTGTTATCCTCACCACTTGTCTTTCAACCTGTTTCTGTGTCATCCATAAACATGGCTATAGTACAGCCATTTTCCGAATCTAAGCCATTAATATATTTTGTAAATAGGTGTACCCCAGCAGTGATTCCTGTAGCATGCTACTAAAAACAAGCTGCCATCCTGAAAGTGTCCCCTGACCCTAATTCTCTGTTTTCTATTAGTTAGCTAATCCTCCACGCATACTAATATATTCTCTTCAATACCATCGTCACTTATTAAGCAGACTAATGTATGGAACCTTATCAAAAGCCTTCTGAAAATCCAAATATATTACATTCACTTTATCTATCAGGCTTGTTACACCCTCAACAAATTCTAGTAGGTTGGCCAGGCATGACTTCCCCTCATGAAGCCATGCTGACTGCTTGATCATATTATGCTTTTCTGACGAGATTCCAGAGACAGTATGTTCCTAAAGGAATGTCTGGCAGGTGTAGGAATGCTGGATGACTAGAGAAATTGAGGTTTTGGTCAAGAACAAGAAGGAGGCATATGTCAGGTACAGACAGCAGGGCTCAATTGAATCCCCAGAGGAATACAGAGGCAGGAGGAGTATGCATAAGAGCGAAATCAGAAGGGCAGAAAAGGAGGCATGAAATAGCTTTGGGAAATAGGGTTAAGGAGAATCCAAAGAGATTCTACAAAAATATTAAGGACAAAAGAGTAACTAGGGAGAGAGTAGGGCCCCTTAAAGATCAGCAAGGTCACCTATGTGTGGAACCGCAGGAGATGGGTGAGATACTAAAGGAGTATTTTGCGTCAGTGTTTACTGTGAAGAAGGATCTGGAAGATAGAGAGTGGCAAATGTCATTCCCTTGTTCAAGAAAGGGAATAGGGATAATCCTAGGAATTACAGACCGGTCAGTCTTACTTCTGTAGTGGGCAAATTATTGGAGAAGATTCTGAGAGATAGTATTTATGATTATTTGGAAGAGCACAGTTTGATTAGAATGGCTTTGTGATGGGCAGGTCATGCCTCACAAGCCTTATTGAATTCTTTGAGGATGTGACAAAACACATTGATGAAGGCAGAGCAGTGGATGTGATGTATATGGATTTTAGCAAAACATTTGATAAGGTTCCACATGGTAGGCTCATTCAGAAAGTAAGGTGTTCAGGGAAATTTGGCCGTCTGGGTACAAAACTGGCTGTGCAATAGAAGACAAAGGGTGGTAGTAGATGTTGCCTGAAATGTTAACTCAGATTTTTTCTTCACAGATGCTGCCAGACCTGCTGAGCTTTTCCAGCAACTTTGTTATACCCATAACTGGTGGGCTGGCTGACCTTCACAAAGCTGGACATGAGTTGTGCATACCTGCAATTACGATTAGATGAGAATTCCCAGATGTACAGTTAACACCCATAAGGTCTTTTCCCTGGGATGAGGGACATAGGTTTAAAGTGAGAGGGGAAAGATTTAAAAGGGACCTAAGGGGCAACTTTTTCACACAGAGGGTGGTGCGTTTATGGAATGAGCTGCCAAAGGATGTGGTGGGGGCTGGTACAATTACAACATTTAAAAGTCATCTTGAT